ATGTTTTATATGTGTCCATGCTCATGTGGGTGCCTGTGCATGTGTGTGAAAACTAGAAGTCGATGTCAGGTGTCTTCTCAATTGCTTCTGCACTGATTTTTTTTGAGACAGGGTCTCTCTCACTGAACCTGGAGCTCCCAGACTGCAAAGACTCTCTGGCTCCCTGTTCCAAGATTCTGCCTGTCTCTGTACCGCCAGCTCTGGGGTTACAGATACTTACCACTGTGCTTGAACTCAGGCTCTCATGCCTGTGGCAGCAAGCACTTTACCTGCTGAATCATCTCCCCATCTCTTCCTTCCACATAGATTTTTAGTTGGAGTGTCCTTTTTTTATTTTCTAGTTGATTTTTAAGAATGCTATACCAGGGACCAGGGCTGGTGGCCCAAGCCTTTGATCCCAGCACTTGGGAGGCAGAGATGGAAGAACCTCTGTGAGTTTGAGCCCAGTCAGGACTACATAGTGAGATCATGCCTTAAAAATAAAAAAGAATGCTATACCAAAAGTTCTTAGTGTTAGCATGTATTGCCAGTGACTTGGCAAGTGATTAAAACTAGAACCTAATAAGACGAGAAAATACTTTAGCTAATAATATTAAAAAATACTAAAAGCAAAAGGAGGAGGAGGAGGAAGAGGAAGAGGAGGAAGATTAGGAAGAGGAGAATCAGAATCTGAATCAGATGAGACAAAACACAGAAATCCAGGATAAAAACTTTAAGGTAAAAGAAATAGGGAAAAAAAGCGAGCAAGAGAGAGAAATTCTAGAACAATGTCTCCATTCTAATTTGTATAATAGATGTTGCCTATAAGAAAAGAAGAAGACAAAACTGGGGTTGTACCACTTTAAAATTTCATCTTAACCAAGTCAGACTGGCTAACATCAAGAGAACAAATGATACCAAATGTCAGAGAGGATGTGGGCAAAGAGGAATGCTCATCCACTGCTGGTGGGATTGGAAAATTGTTCAACCCTATGGAAAGCAGTGCAGAGAACTCTTAAAAAACTACAAATGAACATACCATTTGACCCAGTTATACCATTCCTTGGCATATACCCAAAGAACTCATCTTATTGCAGAGACACTTGTACATCCATGTTTGTTGCGGCTCTTTTCACAATAGCTAAGAGATGGAAGCAACCTAAGTGTCCCTCAACTGACGAGTGGATAATAAAATGTGGTTCATTTATACGATGGAGTTTTACTCAGCAATAAAGAAAAATGAAATCATGAAATTTGTAGGTAAATGGTTGGAACTAGAAAGTGTAATACTAAGTGAAGTAACACAGACTCAGAAAACAAGTGATGCATGTTCTCTGTCATTTGGGGATCTTGGCTCCAAATCCTTAGATGTGAGTATATATCCTGATGTAGCCA